CAAAAAGTGCCCGAGAGCACTTGGGGAGTTGCTTTGCTTTTGTATCCAAATCCCAAAACATATCTGGCAACGTTACTTGTGCGTTTTACACCTCCATTTCAGAATCCATACAAGAATTCCTTAAGACTATGTTAAAAGCAAATTACAGTTGTTCTGATAGCCTGTACACACAAGATACTTTCCCCTTTTGCTCAGCGTCATGAAGGCTTATGCTTCAAAGTGAGATCACATTCTTTATATTTTAAATTGAGTTTTTTTTTCTGCCTTGCCTGTGTTTAAATCATGTTGTGTTCCACAGTGGACTGCACAATGATAAGAACAAATTTCACAATGTCCATATGTTTCTTATCAACAAATCCTCACCCAGCTAAATGAGCCTTTCTAGGTAGCATAAAAGAATCAATACCTCTTCATCTTGGGCTTTGGCACCAACAGTGTGTCATCTGAAAAAATATTGCTGCATGTAATCTTACCAAGAAACCCAGGTGAAGGGCTAAAGCAGGATATCGCCAGGCTTGAAAAGTGTAATTAGAAGACTAAAGGAGATGAGCAATTCCTATGTCTTAAGGTCCTTAGAGAGCAAAAGTATGAGACTTTAACAACAACAACTTGGATTTACAACAACTTTATATAGCGCCCTTCACCCCGGACGGTATCTCAGAGCACTTCACAGTAACGGATCCAGGGGCCGAGGGAGGGGGAGGAAGGTGACCAAAGGCGCGGTCAAAAAGAAAGGTCTTCAGCAGAGATCTGAAAATAGGAAGAGAGGGGGTGAGGCGAAGGGAGTGAGGAAGGGAGCTCCAGAGCCTCGGGGCAGAGTGGCTGAAGGCACGGCCGCCGAGGGTGGAGCGGAGTACTTGGGGGACAAGGAGCAGGCTAGACCCGGAGAAACGAAGGCAACAGGTACTGTTTTGAGGAGAGAGGAGGTCAGGGAGGTAGGGGGGTGCAGAGTAGTGGAGGGATTTGAAGACATTTGAAACAAGGGTTAACAAAGCCTGATTTCACCATGAGCATTTATGGCACAAATTTTAAGTTCATGTAAGGAAGCTTAGAGGTTCAATGACCATAATAAGTATAGGAATGTATCCAGAAAGGTTGAATGTCGCTTATAAGAATAGTATGTAATCAACGCAGGTTATATATATATATATTCCCTGTTAATATCAGGAATTTTTAAATTGTTAGATGGATTTGAGCTTCATAAAGAATTGTTGATGGGAAATGAAATGTCTGATATGAAAGAGAGCATTTGGCATTGGAGTGGGAATTCAAGCAGGGTGAGAGATATGAGGCAGTTTTTTTTTAAAAAGGTAAAACCTTTTAGTGACAATTAAAAATTAAATTTGCTGGTGAATCATCTTCATGATGCATGCAAATTTCCTTATTGTATTTTGTGGCTTGCTCACCAATTAGCAAGGAATTTTAGGTGGTGGTTCTTTTCTAGGTGGAGGTGACATGTCGCAACGATCAAACCAATATGGTATTAATATCCTGTTAATAATGTGGTTCTCCACATTTTGGTGAAACCAAACAGCTTCTATATAGGAGTAATCAAAGGAGTAGTTGCCCTTTACAATTCTTAATACCTAGGCATGTAATCCTATCTGTTGATTTGCTCGTTGCATTGCTTCTGAGAAATGTATAGCAGGTATAATCCAGTAATATTGTATAACTGAGTAAAATAAATGCAAAATTTCACCATAGTACTGAAACATAACAATCTGTTTGAAATTCAGGAATGGAAAAGTGGGTCAATTGGAAGGTCATTTTGCATAGAAAATTAGTTCAAGCATCCTTTTCTCATTTTTAACCTCCAAGTACCAATGAACTGTGCCCCATAGGCACCGTACTTGGATCAGTCAGAAGCCTGGGAGTTTGAATCAAGATTCAACTCCAAAATGGGTCCATCAAATTTTAAACAGTCTTTTATTCAGAGCTAAGAAATGGTGTTTGGTGAATCACAGTTTATTTGTCACATTTGGCAAGATTCAACTTGATGTTGAATATTACAGACCGACCGGTCTGACAGGCTCTGGAGAAAACCCATTCTTGCTGAGTGCAGCAAAAATTGTTAAAAAAAAAAATTTAATTGCTTGTCTGGATGGGATTAAGAACATAAGAATACAGAAGAATGGAAAGGACCGTGTCTACTTGGCCAGTTCTGAACTCAACTCCATGGTCTACAAACATTTGAGAAGTCTGACTATATCAGTATAGCTTTGATGGCACTTGAGGAACATGAGTGTGCTATGGGGGAGGAGACTCCTTGTAGGCAGAAATTCTAACTCCAGATTTAACCATTGACTAAGCCGCAGTATTCCAGCTTCCACCATTATTTTAAGGCCTTGGATTTCTCTTTGCTTCCCCCCAAACCAAATCTTACCGCATGCTCTGCTCTTAGTAACCAACAGTATCAGCAAAACAGCAATTTGGAACACTTGGCAAATATTACCCAGTGGATAATATTTAAACCTTAGTCAGATTTTCATGCTTGAAAAATGGTCCAGAAATTCCTATAGGTCTGGTTACATTTTCTTTGGCGTTACTAATTACTTCTGTTCTAACTGCTCGTATTGGTGGAGTAGTTGGCCTTTACGTTTCTTAATAGCTAGCTTTGTGATCTTTTCCCCCTAACACGAATCCTATTTGCTCCTTCCATTGATTTTGAGATTTAAGCAAAATTATACTGCAGGTATAATACAGTAATATTGTATAACTGAGTAAAACTAAATGTAAGATTTCTACCATCTATTAACAAATTTCTGCCATCTATTTTGCAAATAAACCCCTTATTTTTGGGTCCACTGCGAGGTGCAAAGCTGCCTACAGTATGGATAATAATATTATAATAATAATAATCCTTACATTTGATATGGCGCTTTTCACGTCTTCTAGACGTCTCAAAGCGCTTCACAGAATATGCTGTAAAGTGAATTGACTGTATATTTGTGGGCGAAACGCGGCAGCCAATTATGCACAGCAGTGTCCCACAAACAGTCATGGATTGAAAATGACCAATGTATTATTATTTTGTTTTGGAGGGATTATTATTAGGTGTGTGGAGTAAGGAAACTTGCCCAAGGTTTCGCCCTGCCTGGAATTGAACCCAGGTGTCTCGCTTGCAAGGCGAGTGCTCTAACCACTGAGCTACAGGACTCCTGTATATACATATATTTATACATTGTATTATATATATATATAAAAAAAGGCTGCGCACTTGGACATTTTACTTTAACCCATACTGCTGGCTTCCGAGTGGAGTCCTGTAGCTCAGTGGTTAGAGCACTCTTTTTGCATGCGAGAGACCTGAGTTCAATTCCAGGCAGGGCGAAACCTTGGGCAAGTTTCCTTACTCCACACAGAGCCTAATAATAATCCCTCCAAAAACCAAAAACAATAATAAATCGGTCATTTTCAATCTACGACTGTTTGTGGGACATTGCTGTGCGCAATTGGCTGCCGCGTTCGCCCACAAATATACAGTCAATTCACTTTACAGTGTGTTCTGTGAAGCGCTTTGGGACGTCCTCCCGACGTGAAAAGCGCTATATCAAATGCAAGGATTAGGATTATTATTATTAGGAGGAGGGGGAGGTGGGAGGAAGCGTGTCAAGATTCGGAGAAACTTTATAGCGGAATCGTCTCTGGACAAACAAGACGAGTGAAGCAGCCTCACAAAGATTTGGCAGCTTAGGCTTGTACAGGGCAGCTTGGCTGTTTGGTATTGGTTGTTGGACGAGTGTGGATTCGGGAAACCTGTCATTAGCACCGGGGGTTGGGGGGGTGGAATGGGCAGAGGTGAGGCAGATGGCAATGTGCTCACTGTTCCCTCCCACAATCACAGTGTCTCCGACCATAATCAGACTCATTTGACAATGGTGGGGGGGATGTGTGCGTATGAGTCTGTCCTGTCCTGATCAACAATAACAACTTGGGTTGTTTAGATTTGAGTTCATAGACGAGGCAGACACTCCAGGGCAGTATTGGAAAGTATGTATTGTTGGAGGTGGCATCGTTCAGATGAGACGTTTAAGTGAGTCTGGTCAGTTTAAGTGAACATTAATGATCCCATTGCATTAAGGCAGAATGGAGTGTTTCTTGTTGTCCTTGCCAACAATCCCCCAGTGAAAAATAATCCAAATTGGCTACCAGTTTGTCTACAAATAGAATCACTCCATTTCCCCAAAACAGGTCTATCCTTTTAGTCACTATCAATTGCAATAATTATTACTTATTATTATAGCGCCTTCATATAGAATAACATCTCGAAACGCTTCACAAAGGCAGTGCTGTTCATCATCATTTTGTTACGGCATTTTGTAATTCATGTTGTGGAATTCACATTCGATATAACTGGTATCTGGAACCACATATAAAAGAATGATCATTTTCTGAAAAATATGAAAAATAAAGAAGATTATTATAGCAGTTTGAATTTTGAACCAAATTTGGAATTTTATTTCTTGCTGTCTAGGTATGTAATGTAAGCTACCATGTCAGGTCTTATTATCACTGGGGCTTATTATCACTGTCTCTTTTCATTGATTTCTCAGTAATTTTAAGATTACTAAAGTTAAGATTTATCTTCTTAAAATTAGTGTGCTCCTTGGCCAATCAAGATGTGGTAGTCAAATTCAAAATTACCACCTTTTTGTGCGATGCCATGGGTTCATCTTAATGAAGAACAACAACAACAACTTGGATTTATGTAGCGCTCTCCATGCCGGACTGCGCCTCAGAGCGCTTCACAGTAACGGATCTCAGGACCGAGCCGGGGGAGGGGTGGGAAGGTGACCAAAGGCGCGGTCGAAAAGAAAGGTCTTCAGCAGAGACCTGAAAATAGGAAGGAAGGGAGTTCCAGAGCCGAAAAGGATGCTAAAGAAATTGGCGAGCTCGTTCAGTGACACAATTAATTCAGTGTTTCTGCCAGTGAGCCTTTTTTCTCATTTTGGAACTCCTGGAAATTTATATTTTAAAACGTTTGATTTCTTGCTGTCTAGGTATTGTTGACCCCGAAGATTTTGTGTCTCAAAAAGAACTGAAGATTAATCTGCGGCTGCAGTATTTTGCGGCGTCAGAAAAGTAGTGGGTCGTCATGAAGCAAAATTATTAAAGGGACATTGTCCCTGAGATTTTCTTCTATTTAACAATGGACTCCTAATGTAAGTGAAGCTATACTTCAAGGAATGAGGAAGACAATATTGAAGGTAAATAATCTTAATTTTTCTTTGACTTCAGAAATTTGGGCAGTTAACAAATAATGCATTTTAATTAATGAGTTCAAATTTCCTTTCGACTTGAGCAAAGCAAGGGTTAACAAACCTTTTCCCAACTGCTGTGCAGCTGCTGCCTTTGGGAGAGAAAAGTGCTTCTTGGGGGCAAATAGCACTATTGACTGGATAACTAGCTGATCCTATCCTTTTTGTGGACAAGTGCTTTTCAAACACATATACGATTTGTAGTGTCTGATTTCCATTTTCATTTTTCTCTCACTCTTCCTCTCTTCCCACATATGTATTCATCTGAAATTCACTGGAAGCTCAGTTATTAGAAACTAATAAAGGACAAATGTTATAATCTTTTGTTTTTGCATTGGAGCTTCTACATCTCCCATTATCTTTAACTTTCCCTTTAGAAATTCTACTTCTTGAAGAGTCATTGCATTTGTCTCTGCCCCTCATTCTATTTTCAATACTAACCTACACTGTTGCAACCTAATCTCATTCCTCAAACAAGGAATCTTCTTGTTTATCCCTTTCCCCTCAGCTTTTCCATGCAGCTTTGCTCCATCTTGAACTTCTGTCTGTTATCCCCTGGCAGTTATCCTTCATGTCAATTAATTTTGTCCTTTCATGAACCTGTTCTTAGATCTGTTTTACTCCCTAGCAAATTTAGTAGTCACATTGTCAACGCAATATTATGCAAAAAAATCTGCCTTTATGCAAAAATTGGAACATCGTGTGTACCATGCATGCAAAACAAAAAACATCCATAGGCCGCATAAGCTGCTGCATTCACCCACAAGGTACATAGTCTTGTACTTTAGAGTATTTCCTGTGAAATGCTTTGAGACATCTTCACAACATGATAAAGCACTGTACCAAATGTAAGGATTGTTGTTATGATTATTATTGTTATATAATTAGCTGATGACACTTGGTCACGTAGGCAATTGAAAAGTTGGTAGAAATGAAAATCATTGAGTGGATAGGCTAGGCTATGACAGATGGCCTTTGATATGTATAGCCTGATACACTTAGGATGCTGCACACCATTTTTGATATTGTTGGAAAGGTTCAAAGAAGAATGACAATGGTGACTGAGACTTAAAACAGCAGAGAGCTTTTTGCAGCTGAGAAACTGTGTTTGGGAGATGGAAGAAACCAAGGAGGAAGCAGAGTAAATAGAAAGAGTTGTGAGAAGGAGGACAGATTAACAAATCCATTTGGGAATAGTAGCTGAATACAAAGATCCTTTGTAAGCACCAACTGTCCCGTTAAATCGTTTTAAAATATCAGAAATTTTATATGTACAGCTTCTAATCATATTAAGTCCATGACTGATATCAGCTGTTATTATAATAATAATCCTTGCATTTGATATAGTACTTTATCGCGTCTTCAGGACGTCTCAAAGCGCTTCACAGAATATACTGTAAAGAGAATTAATTGTATATTTTGTGGGCAAAATGCTATTGCTAATGTCTGACAATGAAAAGTAGATATTCTAGAGTAATGCTTGTTCCTCTTTCATTGACATTGCCAGAATTTAAAATAGGTTAAATCCTAGACATAGACTAGACATATGGTCTATGGTCTTTTCCAGTTCTGCCCATTTCTTTGTTCCTATGACTGATGTAGTAATCTACACTTTGTTCTGGAGTAGGTTTGTAGCAGATTTTATGCAAGATATTTGGGGTCTTCAGTGTTTGGAAACTTATTGGCGTTTGGAAACTTATTGGTGATTTTAATCTTATTTCAGAAGATGCCTGACAGGAGGGAAGAGTTCTGCTGCTATTGAGTCTTGGAGCTTTACACGGGCTCAGTGTCACTCTTGATCAGGTAGAATACGAATGGCCCAGAGAAACCAGCAGATTGATATGCAGGTTTTACATGACCTGCGACAAAAGTTTCCTGAAGTACCTGAAGGTGTTGTCTCCCGCTGTATGCTGCAGGTAAGTGGAGTCCTGTAGCGTATTGGTTGGAGTACTCGCCTCGCAAGCGAGAAGACCCGGGTTTGATTCCCTGGCAGGGTGAGACCTTAGGCAAGTTTCTTTACTCCACTCGCTTTTGATTACGAGCAGTAAGTGGGAACCTGGTTGTTAGTGAATTGGCGGATCACTCTCCGAGGGTAATAATCCCTTCAAAAAAAATAATAATTTGGTCCCACAACTGTTTGTGGGACACCTGCTGTGTGCAATTAACTGCCTCATTTTGCACAGAAAATATACAGTCAGTTCACTTTACATATAAAGCTATAAAGCTCTTTGAGGCATCTCAATGACATGATAAGGCGCTGTATCAAATGCAAAGATTATATTACTTTCCATATTAACAGTTAGTAAGTCAGATCTGTGTTAGATTCATGAATGGTTTATAGTACACCGAATAAAAATTCAAATGGTGAGAAAGACACATTATAGAATATTTACATAATATGTCCCTTTTTAACTAAACATATCAAAATCTAATTTGATGCTAATAACAACAAGTAACAAAATTACATTTGTATAGTGCCTTTCATGTCAGAAAAACTTTTACTTAGATTACACGCAATATTAACTTTATGGAATACGGTTGAGCTTAAGATATTTTACAAACTGTAAATGCTGTTAAACCCCAACAACCACTTTATTTCCATGTCTCTGAATCCCTTTTTTTTGTTCATGCACCCACAGTTCTGTTTTGAGCAAATTTTTCAGTAGCTTTGCCTTCTAATTTTGGAGTGGTCTGACCCATATGATTTCCGTGTATTTTATGATGTATTTTGTGTGGAATAGTTCTGCTATGATTCCCTATTTATAGTAGTTTGAGGAAATCCTAATTGGTAATCCCCACAGAGTCATCTCCAGGTTTAAGCGATATGTCATACATACCCAAAAAAAAGTCACAGGAATTTTCACAGATTTTTTAGCCTCAGGAAAACCTGTTTAAGAGGCATTGCCATTCTGACACAATAATAATTTCCACTGGTGATTTACTATACTTGCTTATATAATGATACAAATTTACAGCTAAATATGTATCATCTAAATTTAAAAAAAACCTTTATATTTCATGTTGGGAGGATGTCTCAAAATACCTCACAGGATTCACCATAAAGTATAGACTGTGTATATTGCAGGCGAATGCGGCAGGCAGATGGGACCTCAGTTTAATGTCTCAAGCAGAGGATAGCACCTCCATCAATGCAGTGAAACCCCAGGACTGCATCTAAAAATTTTAACTATTTGAGTTCAAATTCTTAATGTGAGTTTTGAACCCACAACCTTCTGACCAGAGGCTTAGAGTGCTGCCAGGATGAGGTACAGAGTTCCCTCATATATGTTAGGGCAGTGGAGAAAAGGGGTGGAGGAGAAAGAAAGATAATCCACAATCTACTTTATTTGTCGGAAATTCAGCACTGAAAATTAAGTTGATTTGTTCCAGGTTCTTGTGGAGTCCTGTAGCATAGGGAACATAGGAACAAGAGTAGGCCATTCAGCCCTTCGAGCCTGTTCCGCCATTTAATTAGATTACGGCTGATCTGTACCTCAACTATTCCTTTCGATTCCAATTTCCTGCTTTCTCTCCATATCCCTTAATATCCTGACCTATCAAAAATCTATCATAGCGTATTGGTTAGTGCACCCGCCTCGTAAGCGAGAGGCCCTTGGTTCGATTTCCGGGCAGGGCGAAATGTTAGACAAGTTTCCTTACTCCATGTGCCTCTGTTTACCTAGTGGTAAGTAAGAATCTGGTTATTATTTGATTGGCGGATTGGTTTTCCAAGTGTAATAATCCCGTTTAAAAAAAAATAAGAATTTGGTTGTTCAATCCATGACTGTTTGTGGGACACTGCTGTGCACAATTGGCTGCCACATTTCGCCCACAAAGTATACAGCCAATTCACTTTACAACATATTCTGTGAAGCACTTTGGGATGTCTTGAAGACGTGATAGGGCTCTATATCAAATGCAATGATTATTTTTATTAATGCAGAATTGTTGCTTTTTATTAGAACCATAACAACCTTGACGCTTGCTGTGAGTTCCTGTCTCAGGAGAGCACTAAATATCTTTATGGAGATGGAAACCTGAACATTTCTGATGAATCAAGCCTTTCTGGACTTCGCAATCATATGACTCAACTCAACCTTGATGTTCAGTCCCAAAACGTGCATCAACAGTGGAGGGAAGAAAATCAACTGAACGGAAGCAGGACTTTGGTTCCTAATATCAGTGATGACCCTCATCAGACTGGCTTAACTAACTTTGAACCTACACAGGAGCCACAGGCGACACCAGGTCAGGTGGCTGCGGCTTTTAATATGTTTGGAATGATGGACATGAATCGTAGCCCTTCTTTGCCGCAGCAGCAATTGGACTCCAAAGGAACATCAAGCACAGGCCAACAAGTGCCCAGGTTCAACCCTATTACCTTCACTCTAGCACCTAATATTCAGACTGGTCGTAACACACCTACGTCTTTGCTCATACGTGGTTTATCTCCACCTGTACCTCAAGGTAACTCTGTCTACATTAGACCTTACGTGACAGCACAAAGCAGTGCAAGTCGCCATGTATCACAACAGCCAGGCTGGGCATCTGGGCAACACACTCCTCAGTATGGTCACAATCAACAGCAACCAGCTTTTCAGACATCTCCGTACTCACATCAGCAACTGGGACAGCAGGTACAAGGTTTCTGGCCCCCTGCTACTTCACAGTACAGTTCAGCATATACCTCATCCCAGCTGCCTCCACATCCTAGCCAGCAAGGCCATCAGACGTCTCATGTCTACATGCCTATCAGCTCACCGACTAATTCTCAACTACCCCCATATCAGTCTTCTAGTAATGCACAACTTTCTCCTTATAACCCTTACAATATTCAGAATATCTCAACAGGGCCCCGAAAAAACCAAATTGAAATCAAACTTGAATCGCCTCAGCGGAATAATCCAACTATGCTGCGTTCCACAAGTTCTCGCACAGCACCTTTACCTTCTACCAGCAACCCACCTGTAAATAGGAGTCAGCCCAAACTCTATATTTCTGCCAGTCCTCCATCTAATGAGGAGTCGATTACACGTAACCAGCCAAAAGTCTATATTTCAACAAATCCAACTGCTTGTGATGACCAGGTTTTGCGAACTCAGCCCACTGTGTACATATCAGCAAACCCAGGGTCAATATCTTCCTCCAGAAGTGGGACTGGACAAGTTAGCTTGGGCCCAGCCTACATCCATCATCACCCACCTAAGACTCGCGCAACCAGCAATAGCAATGCCACCACATCCCCTCGGGTGGTGGTCACACAACCTAATACTAAGTACACTTTTAAAATCACAGTTTCACCAAACAAGCCCCCCGCTATTTCCCCTGGTGTTGCATCTCCAACATTTGAACCTTCAAATCTGTTAAATGTCCCCGATCATTACAAGGAGCCTGAACCCATCCAACATTTGCAGCTCGATCCTGCTTCAGTACACGACAATCGGATCAACGAGACACGAAAACTTAGCACGGGATCGGATGATGCTGCTTACACAGAAGGTACAGAATAGTTCAAACCATTATAAGTCCAAGCTGTAACATTTCTCTCCACTGTATTCTGTGTCCATTCCAGGTAAGGAGACCAGTTCAGATCTAAACTGAAGCCATAAATCCAATTTAATGGACTGTGTTGTTGCAGAGCTCATATAAAATAGCCAGATTGTTGCATGTAAATGATTAATATCCGTTTTTTCCCCTCATTTTAGGATGTATCTTTTCAAATAGCAATGAATTCAACCATAGGCATATTTAACTAAACAGTTTGATGCAGTGCTCACCTGTAGCTTTCTTCAGAAAAGAGTATGGTCGTTCAGAAATGTTAGATACTTTACACTAACTATATATTGGGAAACCAAGCTTCTTGGAGCCCTGTTTACAAAATGTTCGGCATATCACTGAAATCAATTTTCAGAACAGATTATTGAGGCAAGGTGTTTCTATAAAAATCACTGAAGCTTGCACAATTTTATGAATGTTGTATACCGGATTTACTACAGCACTGCTATTGCGTTCAAGATCTTTTCATTGCTCTGTATTTCAGGTTAAGTGTTGCCAAACTGTTGTCTGTAAATGTTCCTGTATAGGCAGTGTAGCAGAATTTGGAAAGGTCATTCTGCTACATGCGATGCAATTTTTGTTTAACTTGATGTCTGGTTGAAGTTCTAAATTTATTATTGAAGTTGCTCAATTAGTGCCTGATTTGTTAAAAGAAAATGATTTCACCTTCCACATACAAATAGAATATTGCTGCCAACCAGGAAGCAAGGAAAATAAACCTCCTACAAATGATATGCTATCAATTGAAGAAAGTTGTACTGTGGCACTTGCATCTTCTGCTGATCTTCCCCCACTTTGTATGTAAGGCCTTCTACAGAACATTACTTCATTAATTTTTCTTTTGTTAGTAATAGTTGCCACACTTGGAAGTAAAGTCTCTTTTCACCATTTGCTTTCTTTGTGGAAAGTTTCACATTTTACTCTTATTTACCTGTTTACCCGACAGCACAGTTCGCTTGTCTCATTTGCTGCCAGCTCTCAATTTCAAAAATTTTCGTTGAATGTCACTGATCCGTCCAGTGATTTAGCCACACCAGCTTTAAAAGTGGAAGGTTGCTCCAACCTCAGCAAAAAGGGGGCATACTCAAACAGTGTTCTAAATGTCATGTTTGGCCAGAGAGAAGCAGTTGTGCGCTCTGGAGTTCACATAACATCATTATCCGGCATTAGTTATGTCAAGTTTTAGCAGTTGGTCAGGTTTTGACAGCAAGTGAGTGACTCAGGCACTGCACTACTGATGGTCAATCAGGTTATAATCACTTTCATTTGCTTGCCTTACGATTTTTGATTGATACCTTAATCTGTGAGCAATGGAAGGAAGCAATCCTAATCTCTCCACAACAACAGTGTACATAATATGTCTATTTTACCTCTAGCCATCAAGCTCTCTCTTTCAACTTTTCTTGTCTTTCTCTATTTTTGTTGATCCTGTTCTTGGCTGTTTGCCCTCTGAGCTAGTACCCTCTTGTTCCTTTTCATTTCAAATAAGTCATCCTACATGGTCATCCTCACTGTGTTGAAATTGATCTGCATCACACCAGGGAATAATGTTACATTACACATTGTGGGTTTTGCTTATTTCATTCCCTGAAAGTAGTTGCTTTCAATCCAAAAAGCTCTCTTAATCTGATGCTACCAAACCTCCTCTTAATCTGATGCTATTTGTGCACCTCTGAAATGTAGTATTTTGGTCTTGTCAAACTGTTTGGTAAATAATTACAAGGTGTAATTTAAAATGGTGTTTAATCATTCAGATTTGGGGAAGTTTGGCCTACCGAGATGAAGGTACTATGGCATGAATTTCTTTTAAGTTGCAGCATCTTTGGAGTATTTTTCTGTCTCTCTTCCCCACCCCATCCCATAATTTGTCAGTATCCTGTTTGTGTGGAGAGATTGAATTCCTTCCAAATACACTATTAAGGCTATATTTAATTTGATGTAATAATCTAGGCATTTAAATTGTGATGGTCTTTACATAAAATTGAATATATTGATCCTAGAACATAAGAAATGCTAGATGAAAAGAAGACAAAGTCCATCTAGTTCACCTTCCACCTTCCTGGCGGTCGCATGCCCATATGTCCCGAACTACCTATGTGCAACATCTCATAATGTTATTTCCTAAAAGAAAACCATCTAATCTGTATTAGAAGGAATCAACACTTCCTGCTTCAACCATCTCCCTAGAGAGCCTGTTCCATAGATCCTGTAACTGATCTTTGGATTCCCAACTAGATAATTCAAATTTGAATCCCAAGGTCAATTTATATTTTAATTCAACGGTTGTGATAGTTCTTTGCATATCGAATAGGTAGATCGGTGATCGTGTTGTACTTTATTTTGCAATGAGACTGACAAACTTTTTTTTACTCTTACTACAGTATTCAATGATGATAAAGTCTGATGGTAGCTGTGGAAGCTCACAGTGCATACTGTCCTGCTCAACCAAAGATTGTTAACTGCACTGACTGAATTCATTGGAATTTAGATAAAATGGAAATAACAACTTATCACTCTTCTTAATTGTTTTTCTTTTGGTTAGCTGGGTGTCTGACGCATGCAGAAACCCATCACCGTGCTTGTGTATCCAAACCAAACAGTTTTCTGTTCTTTGAACTCTGGCTCAGGATGTGTATTCTGGAAATGCTTTTCACTGTCCAGAATTCTTTTTAATGTTGATCTCAGAGATCTAAGGAATATCAAAAGACCAGTGAATTTCAAGAATCATGGATTTAGATCAGAATGTTGACTGGTGAAAAATGTATTGCCTTCATTTCAATAGTTGCTGCCTCCAAGGCCCTCAGTTTTTGACATGTAATGTGGTATCCTCCAGCAATGATGATATTAGAAGAGATTTCAATCTACAGAACTCATGTTAGAAATCTGGATACGAGTGGATTCTGTTTCAGTGATCTCTATGACCCTAAAAAGACTCAACTCGTGAAAGATCTTTAACCTGAACTCTCTCCGAACAATTTTGTCAAAAGAGAAGTCTTACCAGATTACCCAAGAGCACTGCATCTATTAAGGAGGATAGAAAATTGGTGAAAACAGAAGGCATGCAAATGTCTATTATTGTACTTACAAAAATGGATATTGATGCATAACCTGTAGAATTTTTGTGAAAAGACTGCTATGGCAATATTGAAAAGAATAATCCTGGGATTATGTTTGTCTACAATACACTCACTGACCACTGGATTTTACAAGAAATCACTTGAAACACTTTGAGATGTCCTCCCAATATGAAAGATGCTACATCAATTGAAAGAATTATTATTACCTTTGTGCTCTCGGGGAATTAGTAAGGCAATTTAGTTTAATAAATTCTATAGATGCCACTTTATTTCTTTCAAAAAGCTAATACCACAAAACTTGATCAGCAATATAACAATATTCCGAAGGGACAAACTACAACTTTCCAGTAGTCATAAGAGGGCTGGGGGCTGATCAATTTTAATGGCTTTTTGAATTTGCATCTTAACAATTCAGATTGGTGATCTTCCAAATGCTGCTCAGATATGTCAAGTTAGCCTTCAAAATATAAACATAATTGGTAAACACACATTAGCACTTCCCTGGTGAGTTTGATAAAGACATTTATTGGAGATCAAATCCCAACTGTTTTGATGCAAATGTTTTCAGTGTGTGGCTTTACGGGAAATGGATATTTGCACAGATGCATATTGTACTTATTGCTCCTTTAATGTCACACAGCTCTGAGTATCCCTTGATAATTCTGTTAGGCGAGACAGACTGATATTATCGGTAATCCTTACAAATTTACTCTCCTTAAAGTATTTTTCTTAGAAATCTATATGTTTTGATAGAGTGTCTACTAAGATATTTTTAAAAAATGCCGGAAATCCAAATTAACAATAAAAACAGCACAGCAGGTCAATGTCAGTCAGTATCTGAAAGGGGAAAACCATTTTGCTTGTGACCCTTTTCTCAGAACCAGATGCTGCACATCTTTGGCATTTTCTTTTTATTTGGGTAAGGATATGCTTAACACATTGTCTTTCCAATAAGTGTCATAGAAAAAATAGATACGAAATAAAAAGTCTAGAGTCGATGTAGTAAATGCTGTGAAAGTCTGAAAGATAATGAAAAACAATGTTCTGTGGTATTCCAAGAGGAAGCCTTAGAAAAGGGATGCCATTATCCAGCTAAAGTATTTTAAGACAATTTTATCTTTGCTCATCACTTCTAGGTTCCATTATTGGAGCTGTAATAATATATCATTATAAAAGAAGAGTTGTTCAATCTTCTGCCTCCAACAGTTATTCCTTCTGATCCCATGCTAAAGCTCTGTGAAAACCTTTCCACCACTCCTCCATCCTGATGCTCCAGTTGCTGGCTTCCTTAAAAGATAAACCTGATTTTGGGGCTTTTTTTCCTCAAATTCAATCTCAGTGACCTTTGCATAGAATTTCTGTTCCATCTATCCCCATAACTAATATTAACTTTTACCTTCGAAGGGTTGTGGACCCAAAACGTTGACTCTCTTTCCTTTCTCCATAGATGCTGCCTGACCTGCTGAGTTTTCCCAGCGCTCTCTGTTTTTGTTAACCTTTACCTCACTATTTGAATGAAATTCCGGTCAATATTACATGTAATGATCAATTATGGAGAAACTCCTTTGGCAAACAACATTACCAAAGGTACTCTCCACTCTGGTCAATACTGTCTGAAATTTCTGCCCACATGTTTGTCTGTCTGCCTTCCACCTAAAACTCAAATAAGGCCTCTGGCTCCAATTGCATCTCTGCTATTATCAAGAGATGTACCTGAAAGTTTCCCTGTCCGTCATCTCTTCAGCCTCTCCTACAATCTTTCTATCTCCTTAGAAACTTGCTTGCGTCATCTTCCTTATCTTTCAAACTACCAACACTTTGCTCTCATCTTCTTGAACAAGCTTACTGAAAGAACTCACAAGCCTG